CCCCCTCCACTTTTCCTCCTTCTCTTTCCCATTTATCCCCCTTACTCCCCTCTTTTTATTTCTATTTTCCCCCTTTTTTCTCCTTTCAAAAGAAAGCAACCACTAAAGTTCTTCAGCCCAAACCAGCTCAGAAGCATGAACCAAACTCTCACCTTCACAGATCCTACCCCAGAATAGGTGAATTGCAACCACAACCACCAAGCCCACTCTGTGCATTTGCTAAAACTCTCCCCGCATCTCCGGGGCCATAAAAGCCAAGGATTGTAACACAGGAACCCCTGAACACCCTGAAAACACTCACAGCATGCCACAGGAGCTACGGTCAGATGCACGGAGTCATCCACACATGGAACCATCTGGGTGTGCCACCACTGCCCTCTGCAGTGGTCTGCATACATGTACACACGGGAGAGCCCTATTGGAAGGGATCTGCTTGGCAGTGAGTGAAAAAGAAACACAATTGCTTTCATTATTAAAAGCTACAATCTCTCAGGTAAGTGAAAAAATGAAAAGCACAAGTTCTCCCGCCCCCAAAGAGCTCCAGGTATCGGAAGCCTTTCTCACCCCAGCCCATCAAACCATCAAACCATCCCTGATTCGTGCTCTGAGATTTTTCTAACAGCATCTCAGCCAATGACATTTTCATTTTGAGGGAGTTTGGGGTGATTTTCCTTCTTTTACACAACTGCAGACAGAGCGAATAATTAGAGGGCTGCAAAGTCTGGAAGGATTTAATAAGGAAAAGAAACTGTGGTGGTGTGTGTTGATCAGACTTGCCCCGTGGCTCGTACTGCTTTTTCCCCTTTTGAGTAATCCACTGCAGAATAAATGCATTCGTAATATCCTTACCGAAAATCACAACAATTAATACCATCTGAGCAACCTCCATTCCTTACCAAGGATTTCAATGCTTGCCTTTACACTTGGCCATTACTCACACATAATTAACAACACCTGCAACCTGCCTGTAACAACCAAATGCACAGAGAGCAAACTGCACTTGGGCAGGTTTTTTTTGTTGTTTTTTTTTTCCAGCATTCTCTGTTCCTTCCATATTTCCAATTCCATTTATTTATTTAACACATAAGGGAAGCTCCAGTTCCTTTCTATTGGCTCCAAACTTAGAAAACGGGCCTATGTGGGTCTTTTCTGAACAGAAAAGCTACAGGGCATCCAGCATTCGGACCCACAAGCTCAAAGCTTTGAGTGACACTGGTCAAAACCACCCTTTGTTGCAAGGACCCACTACCAACTAGCAATCACCTGCCCCTTCTGCTGGAAGGATGCGTGAAACCCTCATTTTTCATGGTGCCATGGCACTGCAAGATGAATTGTTGCACAAAGCTGCTGCTGCTGTGTCTCTGAAGCAGTTGCTGCAATGCTAAGAGGTGCACAGCAAGTCTACGTTACCAGAAATGCCCATTTCACAACCTGCTGGAGATGCAGGTGAACACCAGATCAATGGCCTCCATCTTCTGGCAGCACAAAGATAGAAGTTCTGCAGTACAACTGAGCAGCACCAGTCGTTCCTACAAGAGAACAGCATAGAAAAGTCCTGTACAGGCCAGCTGGGCTTGCCCTGCCCCAACAGCTCATTGGTTCCTGCTGCAGGAGCTACGCATGTTAACAGCACAGCCCTGCATTTTAAATGCACCCAGGACTCACCATCACTTTTCTTTTTCAGGAAGCAGCCATGAATAAGCTTCCTGTCTTTTGCAAGGTGACTAATTCTTGCTTTGCTTGGGAGAAAACACAAAGGGGAAGCCCATGTCAACAGACAAGTGTTGTAACCTAAGGCACTTACAGAGCTGCTTCCTTTCTCTTGAAAAGCCTTACATCACCTTACATGGAACCATTCAGGCTGCAATCCTGTCAGTCTTTCACGTAGGACACAGGGAGGATTCACTCCCCATGGGCTGCAGCCTCTCCTCCCCGAGGTTGGTTACATCTGGATGCCAACAAATGGAACTCCTGAAGTTCCAAGGAGCTGTTAAAGACAAAAAGCACCTGCACTTCATTGCAGCAACATCACCTGTGCCCTGTAAAAAGAGCCACAAGGCAACGTTTAGGAGCTCAAGGCTAGAATTTACACCAGAGGAAAAACAAAACCCACACAAACACACACCTTAAACCAACTTTGTGACTTTTATTGATGGGCGACAACTTTATACTTCTAGATATCACTAAACTGTGTACAATTAGGAACTCAACATTATAGGAGAGCAGACAGCAAAATTAAACAAAGCAGACTTAAAGAAATATCAATCTTAATTATTTTGCCCATTTTTTTTTCTTAAATTTCATGTACACAGAAGCATAAATGCAGTTTGAAATTTCATAATAGCAATAAAGTTACAATCACCCATCTATATAGACTAACATCTTAACTCCAAATATTTGATCTGCAATGTGTACTTAAGCAGTTTCTCATCACACAATTATTAAAATGTGTCTTCCTATTAGGAACCAGCAACTCTGCATTTTGTACGTTTTTGTCCATTTTTGAAGCACGCAGGACCATCTCCATCTCATACACATTGGCTCATGTTTTACCACTTATCAAAAACTACTGGGGGAGCAGAGAGCACTTTTTTATTTTTGTTTGTTTTTATTATTTTTATTTTTTTTTTTCATTTTAATTAAGTAAAGATAAAACATTTTCACAGAAATCTACAAGTTCTGTTGCTGGTGCAGCGTTTTCTTCTACTACGCAATTAGAAAGTGGGAATCAAATGCAAATCCCCTGTTTATTATCTTAGGATTCAGCATTAATTCAGATTTTTTTTAATTTTTTTTTTTTTATTTTTTTTAATTTTTTTTTTTAATTTTTATCATTCACGAGACTCGAGTCTTTCAACCCAGCGACTCCACTTTGCAAAAGTCAAAGTCAACACAAACTACGTTGTGCACAAACCCACGGTAGCCTCCTTTTTCACTCTATCCCATAGCTGCAAGGGAAAAAAAAAAAAAAAAAAAAAGAAAAAAAAAAGAGATTAACTCAAAAGAGCATTTACAGGAGAAGGAAAAAAAGTTAGTGATAGTTGGCGTTCTACAAAGCAGGTATCTTGCACACACAGCATAGAGGGAGAAGTTTCACAGCAGGTCAACTCGGCGGTAGTACAGGAGGTAGGCTGTGCGTTCTGCAGACGGCTTCACCACCTGGTACTGGTTGATCACCTTCACTGCCTGGTCATCGATGCGTAACCAGCCGTTGAGCCCGATTTGGAAGACGTCCGTAGTGTAATGGCCACCAGTTGCGCTGTTTCCGTGATGATAAACAACTGAAAAGAGAAATTTGTGATCGTACGCGACGTGGAATGGTTTTAATCTGAGACAGGGGAGGTTTAGGTTGGGTATTAGGGGGAGTTTTTCCACACACAGGGTGGTGAGGCACTGGAACAGGTTGCCCAAGGAGGCTGTGGATGCCCCATCCCTGCAGGCATTCAAGGCCAGGCTGGATATGGCTCTGGGCAGCCTGGGCTGCTGGTTGGTGACCTGCACACAGCAGGGGGTTGGAACTGGATGAGCATTGTGCTCCTTTGCAACCCAGGCCATGCTATGATTCTATGAATACCCACTGCTACATAGAAGCACAAATTAAAGTTGCATTCTGCTTTCTTCATAACATACTCATGATTCAACCAGGCAGTACTACGTAACGCCTCTACACCATACCGAATCTAATGATTCTGAAGGACACTGAAGTAAATTAAGAATGAAAAGCGCCATAACGCATTAAGCAACTTATTAAAAACAATCTACAGAACAGTCTATAAAGAAAACTAGAAAGTCTATAGATTATAGTCTAAGAAAGCCTATAAACAAAGACTAAAGCACAGTCCATAAGGCAAACAATTGTAGAGCATTTTCATTTGCCAGCAAAATATTTGAAAATAAAAACCAGAGGGCATTAAAGCCACGCAGCAGAACAGGGCACTGTTCAAACCAAGCCGATTGTAAAGCCAATTATTCCACCCACGATCATTCTTTCATTCTGTTCTTCACTAGAATTTTATTCTGAAAACAGGTTCTGTTGAAGCACCAATCTATAAATTTCCCATTTATTAGACCTCAGTAATCTGCTTCAAATTTTGAATGGAACACAACTAACTGCTGCTGCTCCCAAAAGAGCACCAAACTGTCTTCTCTCCTCAATTACCGCCACATCCAAAATGTTTTCAGAACAGAGGGCTCAGCAGTCCTTACAAAAAGCAAACCCCAATTCTAACACTGAGCATTCAGCATTATGCGTGGACAGTGCCCCCAAATGGAAGAGGTTTTCTACATATGTAAATCTAAGGATGCATGGAAGAAATTGCATTTAATTCTTTCTCAGAGCATGTGCCCATACCACACACTTAACAAGCCCACACAGAAAGCATTGCCATATTCTATCAGCAGAAGTATGCATTTACAAACCAGTTTCAAATTTCAACAGACCCAGTCTTCCTGTCCTAAAAGACACTTCAAACCTATCCCAAAGTTTTCTTCACTTGTACAAAACCAAACATTTTACAGTAATATCAAAGAGACAAAAAGTTTTTAGAAATTTACAAAATAAATCTGGAATTATTCGTGTTCTAAAATTTATTTTAATCACTGGATAGTTCGCAATACCTGAAACTTATTTGTTCAGATCACCTAAGCTCAGTATCTATGGATGAGAACTCCTCAGCTGCCAGAAAACTCTATTGTATTTTTCCATAGGGGGAGTTAGAAATAATTAAGAGTGCAAACAAACTTCTTGAAGTCATTTTAAACACAGTCTCCAAATCTGCCCCATGAAAGTAACTTCCAATAAAATAAAATGAAACTGCCCAAAACAGTTCTGAGAGCCAGGTGCATTTTTTTCCTTCTGTAAACTCAGCGGTCACGAAAGTGGATCCAAATCACCAAGTCACATAAGGCCACCATTACTGGCACAGATTTGGTGACATAGAAGTTAAAATCTCTGGATTCTCCAGTTTATTATGTTCTCCTGTGTCAACAAAGAAGCAGGTGCAAATCGTAAACTGTGGAGGAGTGTTAAACCCCAGGAAATTCATTACTGCCAGAGACCGCTTTGTTCAGTATGAAAATCCTGCGCCTGCATACTTACGTGAGCTTCCAACCCTAACTACCAATTTAAGGTATTTCACATACATTGCAGACTTAAAAACATCATTTCCTTACACAAATATCATCATCTCCTCCAAGCCAAACTTCTCCACCCACAGCATGCTGCTCACAGACTGCCAGCAACTCATCCTGAGGGCTCAACGGGACACGATGCCAGCATTCAAACAACAATTTCAATACACAGATGAAACATTATTCTGAAAACTTGGGCTATGTTTTAGGCATAGTTATACTGCAGCTGTATTTCAGCTGCTGCTATTTTTCAGGGTGGATCTGCTACAGAACTTTTGTTTGAGTTTCAAGCTGGAATAGTCAGCATGTAAATACAGATACAACATTACATGGGTATATGTGCATACACACACACAAAAAAAATCAC